GAGGAGCTCCAGACGCTTCTGCAAAGACCTATGGTCGTTCGGGGAGCTAGTCACAAGTACATCACCGCTGGATCTAAGAGTGCTGAATTGTTGCATAATTTGCTGGAGCAGGACGACCATAGTGAGTCGAGGCGCGTCTTGCGTCGTGATTGATTCCTTTACGCCGCGCCTCGTTGAGCCTGAATCGACCTTGTCGTTCTGCAGCTCATGACTATCCCAACAAAGCAGTCACGCAGATGTTGGGCGTGCCGCGCAATACGGCGAAAGATGAACTGCGTCTCAGCGAGCTCAAAAATAAGAAAGGCGAATCGGGGCAAAGCGCCATGGAGGCGTCTGAACAGGCCGACGACGATGATGAGGAGCAGGAAGAAATGCAGTCCGATCAGACGGTCACCTCGAAGGATCGCAAACGCAAGCGAGAGGACAAACAGGGGTCATCGAAATCAGTTCAGAATATTTGGGGAAGACCCGTATCAAAGTCCAAAGCCAAGAGTCGTCGGGCTTGACTCGCACGCATGTGTGTCCAACGTTGAAATGACATTCATGAAGGAGAGTCGTCATGCAAGCGAGGTGTGCGAGGCCAAGTGTACAAATACATGTAAATACAGTGCAGAAAGCCGAACGCCGTCGCGAAAGACAAATGGTGCGCAATGGAAGGAGTGCTGAGGAGCAAGTGGCAGAAAGGAGGGTGGCGAATCAGAAGTAGTCGTCGGCTCGTCCAACTACTGCCTGACCGCCTCTCCTCTTCTTCTCTTGCGCCCACCGCTCAAACCATTTCTTCATCTTAGCTCGAGAGGTCGGATTGCCCACGTTCACCGTGGGGATGATGCGATCATAATCGATCGATAGCACGAATGCAGTCAACTCGAACTGAGGGATGAGCATGCGTGCGTTGAGAAGTTGTGCGGTCAGCGCGGTCACTACGGACCATTTCGACTCGATCAGTCGCCGCCGCACTCACGAAACTGCTGTGCTCGCTGTAGGGCACACCGTAGATGGCGTACTGCCTGCTAGAATCGCGAGTCGGTTGAAGGTCCCTAGCAGAAAAGCCTTTGCTCTGATTGTACTCGATCAGCCTTCGAAGGTTCGGAGCCGTAGTGTCCAGACCAGCTGGCGGTTTGTATGTCCATCCGGTAGGTCTGAATGCGACGGCCCTGTCAAAGTCTCCTCCCATCTTTCTCAGACTGGCGACTAGCGCGCGAAGGGCTTCGCCATTGACCGCGCTGAGCCCGTGCACGTGCACACTTGCCGCTAGAGGATCTCGTGTCAATCGGGCATGCAGCTCTGGCTCGTCCACTTGAGCATACACTGCATATTTTCGCGGGTCCGAACAATACACCTTGGATCGCAAAGCTCGTGCTGCCGCCAACACGATCTTCTCCTTGCCAATGGTGTATGTTCCACACACTACCAGCAAGCGGCCCGTCTTGGAAGACTCGGCGAGGCGGGTCTTGAGCAGTGCTTCGGAAGCAGCGTAGTTTGTCATCGTCCCTTCTTGCTTCGAGGCTGCACCGAGCACTGCAAAGGCATCTTGTGCAGGCTTCGGAACAGACTCAAGGCCGCTGTCTGTAGCAGCATCTTCCTGCTTGATGACAGCATTGCTCGTGCCTCGCTCCATCAAAGGCGGTCTTGCCGCATCACTTTCAAGCAGCTCTTGCTTGATGCTGAGCTGTATGTGCAAATTATCCTCTGAGACCTCCTCGTTTGGCGATTGGCTCTCCTGCGCATCCATGTCTTGCAGGGCGTTGACCTCGTCCAGGAAACCTCCATCGATGAGCTCATCGAGATCTCCGTGCGCTGCTGCCCAAAGCTCCGCCTCTGCTTCCTCAGCCGCAGTGGCAGTGTCCATTGAGGTTGCGTCCGGTAAAGCACTTCTTGCTGCGCTTTGCGCCCCATCGACCTTAGAATCATCCAATGGTGATCGCCTACCGAGCCAATTGCCCATGGCACTTCGAGCGCTAGCCTCCTCCTTCAATGCTACCTTTTGCTTTTCTTCCTTGAGCAGAGCAGTCGCACTTTTGTAGGGCCTACTCCAATCTTCCTCCTGCTTCGTCAGATCGACATCGGGCCCTTGTGCTTGGTTGGGAGCGAGATTGGCGACTAGTTGTCCGCACGCGTCGATTACGAGGGGTTGGGGAGGGAAGCAGTAGCGTGCATTGCAGTATGTCGTATCGAGGTAGATGATATCCAATCGATGTCTCCGGATTGTCGGATGGCGAACGTGCTCCGGGCAAGCACGAAAGTCTCCACAATGCAGGTACGTCGAGAGTCTG